GTAACTGTTGAGTAGTCGGTTGGTTGGTGGTTAGCTGGTTGGTTGGTTGGTTGGTTGGTTGGGCCCTGGTTGTCAGGTTGGTTGGTTGGTGCCCTGTTTGACAGGTTGGTTGGTTGGTTGGTTGGTTGGTTGGTTAGTGGTTAGCTGGTTGATGGGTTGGTTAGTTGGTGGTTGAATGGTGGGTTAGTTGGTTGGTTGATGGTTAGCTGGTTGTTGGTTGGCTGGTTGGTTGGGGCCTTGTTGTCAGGTTGGTTGGTTGGTTGGTTGGTTGGTTGGTGGTCTGATTGCCAGGTTGATTGGTTTTTGTAATGCTAGAAATGGAACTCAGGGCAATGTGCAATCAAGTGCCTTACCACTGAAGTACATCCCAGCCCTTAGCTTTGCTTGTTCTTCTACTTTAGTATGCTTTCTGATTTTCCATATAGTCATTATATACAATGTTGTAGATGATAAAAGAAGTGGGAGTTAAAGAATGCAGCCTGTCATTCCACATAGAGGGTTACTCTCTCAGCCTAGACACACAGGGGAGGGCCTAGGCCCTGCTACAAATGATGTGACAGACTTTAAAGATCCCCCATGGAAGGCCTCACCCTCCTGGGGTGCGGAAAGGGAATGGATAGGCGGTCGGTGGGGGGCAGGGGAGGAAAGGAGGGAGAGGGAACTGAGATTGACATGTAAAACAAGGTTGTCTCTAATTTAAATTTAAAAAAGAAAAAAAACGAGAAAAAGAAAATATACATGTGTTATTCTGAATTAAAAAAAAAAAAGGAATGCAGCATGTGCTTCTCAGAACTGAAATTCACTTACAATAAAGCACTCATTTTAATTGACTTTTGACTAAACAGAGTCTGAGTTTACCTCTTTTTTCCCCTTAATGTCTTAGTGGTCAAAAGACAAAACCACATTATCCCCGATCATATAATAAGAGCTTTATATATGCAAGGTGCTTTATATGTGCAAAGTCCTGTCATGCTCTGTTCATTATCATCAAGCAACCCTCTGAGAGAAGTTACTCCCCATTTGACAGATGCTAAAGGTAAGGTCCCCTGATATATCCCTGCCCCTACAGTTGCAATTGTGGCTTGAATCTCAGCACTAATTCATGGATTGCAAGCTTCCTAGACAACAACCACTTCATGACTTACATGAAACAGAAAAACAATGAAGCACTTTGAAGGTGGAGCTGTGTGGTGTAGTTATTTTTGTTGTTCCTAATAACAAATATATAATATTCCATACATGTGGGTTTTATAAAGGTGTGTGTGTGTGTGTGTGTGTGTGTGTGTGTGTGTGTGTGAACATGAGTATATGTGTACATGTCTGCAGATATGTGTATCTGTGTGAGCATAGAGGGAGACAGACGGGGACTTTGGATACATTGGAACTGCAATTGCAGACAGGCAGGATGAGCATATTATTAGGTGGCTGCTGGGGTCTGGACTCTGGTGCTCATGGTCTCACAGCAAGAGTGTTAGTCTTAACCACTGACCTATCTCACCATCCCCAAAGTGTGGGCTTACTTTCTTGAACTGTAAAGTCATGGTTTCCCTATACTTCTCTGCTTAAATGTTGCATTTTTCCAAGCATATATATAAAAAATTCACTTGCCTGAAAAAATACCAGATTGGCACAACATGGCCCCACTGCTGAGTCACTGAGTAGGCAAAACTTGTGCCCTGCCAGTCTTAAACTTGTTCTGTAAGGACCACCTGCAAAGTGAGTAGGTAATTAATTCCATGCTTAGCCTTGGGGCAGTTTAAAATTAAGTCAGATATCAAGGAGAGAGCAAAATGATGGTTGTCGGGGACCTGGGGATTGATGGCAAGAATGGGGAAAGGCCCGATAAAAGACAATGGCCCTTGGAATGAATATGGCAATCTAGTCGACTGCATGGTGACGATAATTAATAAGAATGTATACTTGGAAATTGCTAAGGAATTACATCCCAAATGTGCTTACCACAAAAGAAAAGGAAGTATGGAAAGAAATAAATATGTTAATAAGTTAAAAGAAGTATGGAAATAAATATGTTGTATTTGTTTTCTTTAATCACTTTGTGTTATATACTTGCAATAAAACATTACAATGCACCCTGCAAATGTATACAATTTTTATTTGTCTATTACACTTTAATAAAGCAGGAAAGGGAAAACTAAACCAAACAATACCCTTAAGTGTAAACAATAACCTCCTATCTGGATTAAGTTGGAACTACAGAGGCCAGGCAGTTACTAATTCTAAAACACTATTTAGGAGCATGGTTTGGGAGAGTTTCTTTTTCTATATATTTTATTGGTGAATATTGGTTTGTAAAATAATTGATGTTATATGATACTTTCATACATGCATAGAAAGTGCATGCCCATGCCACTATCCGGTGATGTTCTTCTATAGGGAGTTTCTCAAATGAGACGCTGTGTCATAGAATGACATTTTAGTGCTGGGCTCAGGACACCTAACGTCCATGTCAAGGGCTGCTCGGTCTTTGAGTATTTGTTAGGATTGAAGATATGAGGACACTGAGCAATTAATTATTATCACTCATTCATTTCAGACAGATAATTGTTTAATAGCGTGGCCAGATTTTAATCTCTCTGGGAGGGGAAAAAAGATGCATCTCAGAGGCTCCCCACCCTAACGAATGTATTCATATACACAAATATGAATTCATCCATATACAATGGATGTATTCATATGGGGAACTCACATCAGGCCACTCCTTGCTGGTCACAACTTAAAACATCAAAGGAGAAAGGCCCGTGATTCCAGGCTGAAAATCCCTTTCCTATGGTTCCCCAACATTGCACTGAGGTTTGCATTTTCAAGAGTTTTAGTAACTATTTGCAATGTCAGTGCCTAAGCAACTGTGATGGAAAGATGATAAGCCTACTAGAATGTAGAGGCCCGTGCCATGTGATGGGATACAACTGAGGGGCTGCAGTTAGGACAGTACTTACACTCAGTATAAACATGGGCTTTACTTCTAGCCAAATAAAGCTGGTTACCTCCTCATCCTTGACAAAATTGCACTGTACCCTGTTGTGGAATATTACTCTAAGATGGGTTACATTTGTTTGTGCTGAGGAGTATTTGTTTAATGAGGCAAAGATACATTATGTTCTTTTATGTTGTATCTGTTTAACTCTATGAAGCTGTGTCACTTTGCCTGTCTAAAACACCTGATTGGTTTAATAAAGAGCTGAACGGCCAATAGCAAGGCAGGAGAAAGGAGAGGCAGGGCTGGCAGTCAGAGAGAATAAATATGAAGAGAAAAGAGAGATCAAGAAGCAAGAAGGATAAGGAGGACACCAGGGGCCAGCCGTCCAGCTACACAGCCAGCCAGGGACTGAGTGAAAGTAAGATATACAGAATAGAGAAAGATAAAAGCCCAGAGGCAAAAAGTAGATGGGGATAATTTAAGTTAAGAAAAGCTGGCTAGACACAAGCCAAGCTAAGATTGGACATCTATAAGTAATTATAAGACTCTGTGTGGGGTTTATTT